TCGGGTGATGAATCTCATAACATCTCGACGTCTTACATCGTCGTGTTTCACTAGGTCGATCAAGTACGGTTACAATTACATCACATTATACCTTAATTAACAATTGGTTTAAGGTAGTTAGTACAATAGTAGTTATAATATTATTATACTACAGTACTTCATTATTTTCCCCTTACATCTACTTTGTGATCTCCTCACAATAAAGAGTAATGTAAAAACTATATGTTCACTAATGATAGTCAAGTTTGGGAAAATACTCACTTTTACAAAGAACAAATATACAGTATACTTGATGCCTTGGTAGAAGGCTGCTTTTAATGGAATATATAGGATTTTCTAAGAAATAAAAACAATTGTTACAAACATTTTACATACTTTTACACTCAAACACTTACAAACATTTTCATACAAATGATGACACTAAATACTTATGAACTCACCAGCTTTAATGCTGATAAACTCTTTCAAAATAACTTGTATTCTCAGGTCATTAGTAGACAGGTACCGAGGCCAGCTTTTTAGAAGATGGAGCACATACAAGACTCATCTTTTATTTTGATTCATATTTTGGTGTCTTATAAACCACAGAACAAACTTGTATTAAAATTATATATTTAATGCAATGGATGATGTTGTTTACTTGTTTACTATTATTATGTGTTGTGATACTGTACATGACGTCCTCCGCCCTAAAACGTTTCCACCGTTCTTGTTTGAGGTGTGACAAAAATGGATGTGGAGATTTTTGTTGTGCTGCAAAGGAAGCCTTGTGTATTCCCTAAAAAAGTCCCATAAGGTTTTGAGAAATTACAGCCTAGGAAGATACAAAAGGAAGGATGGTATGTGGTCTTTTTGATGAAAAAACGAAATGATGCAAACTTTCATAAGGATTGCTTCTTTCTTAGACATTGTCAACAAGTATAAGGGTAACAACAATGGTGATAATAAATGCTTTTTGGATATGATTCAATGGTATATCCAATTTCGCAAGGTTCTGTTGGGCATCATTCCAAAAGTTTTTAAAGTGCAGAAGCGAACTCAACTGTGAAGGATCTTGCCTCAATCGACATAGTGGGGGAGATTGTTGGGTACTAAGTGTTGCATCTTTTTGGCCTTTGTATTTATTCTTTTGTATATCCGAGTTGGGCTTGTCCACTCGTGTTTAATGATTAGGGTTTTACTTAAGGTGCAAGAGTGAATTGTGTATTAGCAAATCGTGTCATTGTAAACCCTACACACCTCTACAGTAATAGTTCTCTATCGAGCTCTTCTGAGGCTGTGACTTCTAATCATTCAACACAGTCCTGATTCAGATTCTGTGTTTGATGGTTCTTACTTGTTTTAATGTAACCAATCTTAATCAATCTTAAGAGTTTTCGACTCTTCAGTGATCTGAATGAAATTCGTAGTATACGTTAAACCAAGAGTGTGCTTAAAAAGAAGGTCCAAATTTGACTTCATATGAGGAAGTTATGATTTTTCTAAAATTTAGCTTACTAGTGCACAACGCGGTATTCGAATTTTAGATCGACCAATTTTTAGCCGATACAACCTAAACGAGAATCACTACTAGAAAAACAGCCTTTTACGACGCTCATTGCGCGTCGTAAAAGGCTCAGACGACGCGCAAATGCGCGTCAAGGAAGGCCCTGTCATAAAGAGAGACGACGCGCTTTTGCGCGTCGTCTATAGACGACGCGCATTTACGACGCTCATTTACGATGCGCAATTACGACGCGCGTTTACGACACGCAATGCGTATCAAGGAAGGCCCTGTCATAAAGGAAGACGACTCGCATTCGCGTGTCGTAACCTTACGACGCGCGTGTTAATGACACGCAATGCGTATCAAGAAAGCCCCTGTCAAGAAAGGCCATGTCATAAATGAAGATGACACACATTTTTGCGTATCGTAAATTTAAATGTTTAAAAAAAATTATATATTTATTAATTTTTAAATTAAATTTGCATTTAATTTCTCATAATAGAAATAAATTACTTTTTTTGATAGATTTACTAATTTTCAAATTAAATAACACATTAAAAGTCTCATAATACAAAATAAAATACCATAAACAATAAAGATAATTCATTGCACTAAGGACCATGTTAACAAAAGAATATAACATTATATACCATAAGTACCCTCAAGTAATCAATCTCTTACAATGTTACTAAAAATACCCTCAAGTAATCAATGTCTTACAAAGTTAAGAGACTTAGTTGGTATGTAATATGGCACTAAGAATCCCAAGAATTGTTTGTGTTTTTCCTGTTCCTGGTGGATCCTACATGGACAAAAGGTAAGAATTAACATTTTCAAAGTACAATGCCTCAATAAGGAAATCAATGGTAAAAGGCAAATCTGAATAAGAACAAACTTTATACATATATACATGGAAGTATTGTAATACACAATAACAGCAACAAATACCAAATTACCCTTTGCTTACCTTTTCTTATGGCCACCTCCAAAAGTGAGAATTTGATAAAAGATTTAGGTCACACATTCTCTCATCAAGCTCTGTATCCAAAAGTGAGAATTTGATAAAAGATTTAAAAAGTGGGAAAATCTCAAGAATATAGAGGATAATACATTAAGAAAAAAAATTACTCACAAAGAGCAAGTTTCAACCTTCTTCCCCAATAATGTTTCAAAGCAAAAAGCTCATATATATTGATCTCTGCTAAAAGGATATCTATTGCTTGATGATCTTTCTGCAAATTGAAGTACAAAATATATTAGGCATATGATAATAAGGAGAGAATTATATTTTTGTTTTCGTTTTTTATTTTTAATGCTCCTTTCACTGCTGTAATCCAACACATAACAGGATAAGTAAATAAATAAAAACTAACAGAGATTAATGTTCTCTAAAATGAAGAACATGATATTTGATAAAAGAGAGTTAATTCAAAATTGATGGATGTTTACCATTAAAAAAGGAAAAAAGACCATGAAATATGTATATTCCTGATAGCAGAGAAGCAGTGACAGTGAAAATCTTCATTTATCATGACAGATAACCATCCCCCAATCCTTCTACCCACTTATATACTCTATTGCAACAAACAAAATATATAAAGAATTACCCAAAATGCCCCTCCCATTAATAAGCCCTTTATTCGTAGGATTTTCCCATAATACCCTTATCTAAAATATGTGGCAAGCTTTTTTGGTTAACTCATCAAGTAATTATGTCCAAATTAAGTCAAAAGGAAACAACTATATGTAGCTTTCTGGATTAAGTACTTAACCCATTAAGCCTATTAAGATAAAAAAAGAAACAAAGTAAAACTAATAAAATATCATATTATTTTCCATTCAGATTCTATATATATATATATATATATATATATATATATATATATATATATATATATATATCATTTCACTTTCAAGACTTCAAGTTTTTAAAAAAATAAAAAATGCCAGTTTACAAAACTAAGCAATTTTAAGTTTAATAAAATATGGGAATACAAATCATCAAACTCACATCTGGACTTGTATGGCAATGATTCTTCTCCACTATGTATTCCATGTATCCCATCAAAAACCACACTAGGAGAACTTGTATAGATAAGCCTCTTCACATTAAGTTTAGTACAAGCATCAATTATGTTCTTAGTACTTGTAAATCCAAAAACAAAAGTTAATACTGTCTTAGAAATTAACTAACTATGTTTATTATCTTTCTTTTTACATGTAATTATTATTATTAAATAATAATTAAAACTTAGGATGTGAACAATAATATATATATATATATATATATATATATATATATATATATATATATATATCCACGGGACTTCTGTTAGCTAATATTAGTTCATTCACTTAAGCCCTGTTTTTTTTTCGCATCAAGTGCTATCTGGATAAAGAAGTTCAAAAATATTTGAAAAAAATGACAGCACACTTACGGAAGAAGAAGGAAAAAATAAAAATGACAGCACACATGGGAACAAGTTTGACTTCAACAGGATGTAAGAAAGCAATTTTTTCAGCCACCTGAACACAAAAGGTAGTGTGGTATTAGAAGAAAAAAGAATGATGTCATTGAACGTGAGTTTCTTATACCTTCTGCCAGTCAACAAAGTCAATGAGTTCAGGGTCCATGGTTTCTTTTGCAGCTATTTGAAGTATTTTTCCCCATCTTGTTTCTCAAACCTGCATGATAAGAAGGGGAATTCTTGAATGGAATCAAAAATTAATTAACTATAACAATTATTTAACTTTAACTAAACTTTTATTATACTTCAAATGATTACAAAACAAGTAAGCAACAAGACCGAGAAAAATGTTTCAAAAAAAAAGTTGAAAATTATATGGCATGGGACAGGGGCATTTTAGGCATGAGAGAGAGCTTGATGATTTCCCAAATGCTCCTGATTCTCTTTACTTGATGATTTCCCAAATGCCCCTGATTCTCTTTACTGTGAACATATAATTCGATAAGTTATAATTCAAAACAAACCAATTAGCATAAAGAGAGAGCTTACCGGTGGAGTACTTACATTTAACATAGAACAAAGATTTCAAGCAAATAGATTTAAAAAAAAAAGATTCAAATCATATCCCAACATCAGATTTCAGCATGAGATTTTAGCAAATATATTTCAGAAAGTATGTTTGTTTCACCAGTTCATTAGTAAACATTTCAACACAAAAAATTTAAGGCAGCAAAATGAATTCAACTAGGATGTTTTATCTCAAGATGAAAATTCCAGCAGAGCAACATAAGATCGACCAGCATAAAAACGATTCAATCAGACAAGTATCTATTGCATCAAGAAAATATAATTATTCAAAATCAACAACCAATCACTTTCTGTTGAAGCATATATACACACAATTCAGAAACAAATAAGTCAAACCTACATACATTTAGTCCATAGCTCCAAGTCTAGAATCTTTTTATTTGGATTTTTCATGTTGGGGAAAAGGAATACCTGTAAACAACCCATTTCATATCTATACAGATCATTGACCTAGGATTTCATTGTAGATGGTGAGGCTTAAAGGCAAAACAAGTGTTATTAGTGTCCTCAAAGAAATTTTCTTTAACCCTATTAGAGGAATCCAAGAACATCATGGAGCTTCTACCATTACCATTTGGAACAAATTGGAACTTTCCAGTAGTTGGAGATGGTTGAACCTACAACAGAAAGGGTCATTTAGTATAGTAAATTACTAATATACCCCTAGTTTATCTAGTGAGCTTACCAATGAGTTGGAAAGGAAAATAGGTGATTCCAGAAAAGAAGTTGGGCTAACACCAGGTGAAAATAAATACGGAGATTGTTGAGTTTGTGAATTATCAGAAGATTTTATAATCTCTGTATTCAACCTAGGAGCATTATGACCAGCTCTAGCTGCCATTCTTTCAACAATAGGTGCCCTTGAGCTCGTTTTTTGATCACCAAACTCACTTGATTTTGTCACATCGCCATTTTCAGACCCGATTTGCGGATTTGGTCCAGGGAAAGTGAACCCGGTGTCTTTATTGGTATCGTTTTTTGGAGGGTCGGGTACTGATCTTGAACCAGGATCATCCCCCAACACAGCTGCAAAAAAAGACCTAGGGCTAGGGCTCGGAGGCATCCAATCGCCAATTATCCCACCATGATCGTCAAAACCACCCATGAAAATCGAAAGCTTTCTTCCTTGATTATCTGTTCAGTGGTTTGTTAGTTTTTCAGACTTTGAAATTTCACACAAAATCGAAACAGTGATGATGGTGTTTTATGTACGAAATCGTAGTGTTTTGGTCGTGTTTTTTTTTGAATCGTCAAGCTTTAAACAGTAATGATAGTGTTTTTATGTACGAATTAATCGATTACGAAATAAAAACAACAAATAAATGTACAGATTTAATTTCCGCTTTTGGTAAAACGATAAACCAAAAAAACATTTGAATCGTCTACCCGATTGAAGTGGGTAGACCACAATAATAGAAGATAATATAGTTTTTCTAAAATGGGAATCGAAAATCGATGATATTCAAACATTCGCTTTTCACATATTCTTGTGGATTAAGCCCAATTTTGCAATCCCGAACCAATAATCGATATCCGAAAACGATCTAGCTAAAGGGAATTTATTAAAACCAGAGATCTGAATGGGATTGCAAAATCCAACCAACTTCAAATCAAATCTATCATTTCTTTCACACGAACAATTAAGGGTATAAACTACATAAACTAAAAATGGAAATCCAGTTGAAGAATCAATGGAATGATTGAAAAAACATGATTAAGGGTTGTGATACGAACCTGGAAAACAACACACAGACAGTCAAGGGTAAGCTGATAACAAAGGAGACCCTTTTGTCTCCTCTGATTAGTTGATTCTCTGTGATTAACAGGCCACAACGCAGAGTACACGTCTCTAGGTCCTAAAACATACCTTTGGCAAATTAGATCTAACTGATAGACCATGGGAAGGCTAGAATTTGGAGATGTGGACGACATCGGTCGGCCGAGCAAGTCGACGACTGTTGTTGAGAAGTGTCGAGATAAAGATAAGGTCGGTCATGTAAACAAAAACATACCTTAATCGTACTTAGGGCTTGCAAATTTGAGCAGTCGTTGTAGTCTCTGGTGACGTGAGGTGAGCCCGAGGTCGCTGGTGGAAAGAGATGAGCCGAGGTCGCCGGTGGAAAGAGATGAGCCGAGGTCGCTGGTGGAAAGAGATGAGCCGAGGTCGCCGGTGGAAAGAGATGAGCCGAGGTCGCCGATAGGAGGTGAGGTGAGGGAGCGAACATTACAGAGAGCACTCCTTGAAAAAGCCCTAGATAATGGTCCCTGCAATGGCGGGGTCTTCAACTTTTCTAATTTTTCTGAACACGAGGTTTTAGATTTGGTCGACGCCATTAATGAGGAGACCTCACATATCAATTACGATTCACCTTCGCTTTATCTTCTTGTTCTCCTCTTGATGATTTCAGACTCCGTCTCTACGACTTTACATGATATTTTTTAGAAAGGAGTCTTTGTGGAGCATCAGGGTTTTTCTTTATTTCATAACCCTCGCATGTACTGGGTTGAGAGAAAACGAGAGAAGCGGAAGCTTGGAAGAAAATAAAACCCTAGCACGTGCTAGAGAGAAGGGAGGTGGCGATGGCTTAGGGTTTACAGAGAGACGGGAGGTAGAGAATGAAAGGAGAACTAGAGGAGAGAGTATCAGAGAGGGGAGAGTGGATTGCAAGGATGAAAGATAGATAAAAGAAAGAAAAAACGAGGCGGGTTTTCAAAATTTTGGAGATTCCGTTTCCCCCCTTGTCTACTAAAAGCGCGTTTCATTAAAATTATAAAGCAACAGCTACAGACGACGCGCGTTTAAGATAAAGCGCCCTCCGTGTTTTTAATTTTTTTCTTGAGACACTAAATTAAGGGCACTCAATAATGCGTGACGTAAATCCTTAATTTTTTTGGAGAGATGACACTATTTTAAGGGCACGTCCTTTTCCGTATCATTAATCAGTGCATGTCGTAAAAAGCGCGTCATTAAAGGTCATTTTTCTAGTAGTGAATCAAAGATCTTGTTAGTAGTAACTCAACAATATAAAGAAAGACAAAAACGGACATCGGATGATAAAGTTATGAATTTTTAATGGACTTTACCTGTCGAAGGATGTTAAAATAACTTTTAAAAATAAAGTAAAAATTAGCCGACATATTCTAAATGAAAGTTGTAGATTACGTCACCACCTACACGTGGATATAACGAATGACAAAAATGGAGATCATGTGCAAAAGTTACAAAATTTAGACGTTTAAGGGTTAGGTTAGCGAGGGGACACATGTACACCCCACGTAGCTAGCATTACGCCCATCGATCTCGCATGCGTGGTCCAGTAGCCTCCACGTCTTTGCATCCGAAGATTGAGAACTGTCCCTCGTACGCGTAGTGTTTTGAGTACGTACATCGTACTCCAAGGAGTACGTCCAACATAGTTCAAGGCCAGATCCTATAAATACGATGCGAGGTTCCTCATTTTTCATAACACCTTCACCCTTATTTCTCTCACAAACATCTCTATAAATCCCTCCCAATCCCTAGTACTTCCTAGGTGCTAGAGGAGAGTCCCACAACGCCCGGAGGCTCCAAGAAGAAGAGCTTTCGACTCAGAAGTTCTACCTCGCAGAGCCCGATTCCTAGCAAAACCTCCTAGTAAGTGAGTTATTCTTACCCTACTTTAAGTATAGCATATGTTTATGTTTAATATCGTTATTATGAACTTATAAACTATTATATATATATATATATATATATATATATATATATATATATATATATATATATATATATAATGTACGATGTGTTATTAGAATATTTGTTAAATACTCACGGTATGGGGAATCCGGTTCGAAGGGCCACATAGGGTTGTTGGATTTCAAAAGTTCTTAAATGCCAAAATGGTACTGACCTCTGGTGTTTCATGTCTGGCCCCTATCTATACAAAATAGTTCAAAAGTATTGTTTAACACTTATAAAACAATATCGCTCGTAAATAGTTGCGATAAATATTAGACTAAAAGCTAGCAGTAATGATACTAGGTTTCGCTAAAGGAAAATAGAATTGTTAGAAGCGAAGCACTGCCCGAGTTTGGAATCATCACTTTAACAAGTGAACGCAAAGTTACTTTCATCTTAACAATAGAAATGAAGTATTTAATATAAATTACGCATTATGTGTGCACATTATCTGTGTTCCCGATATCTATGCTAGATGAACAATTTATACATGTTTATGTGATTTTAAACTGCATATGTATTTTTATAGTTATATATATATATATATATATATATATATATATATAGGGTAGCGATGGGTGATGGAAGAAAGGTGTTGATAACTAGGTGATGACAGATAAGTGATGATTAATAGGTGATGTGAGATGTGAGGAGATGTCATAGTAGTGACCTATGATGTAGCAATGTAGTCATCTACCAAAGTGTTTATGGCGACCACGGACTATTCTATATAGTCATGTGGACACATGCGGATCATAACATGTAGGTGATGAATTATGAGTTCATGCGATGTTGTAACTACGTATTCATGTGATGATACTCTAACCCTTACTATGAATTACGAGTTTAGGTGATGTTGTAACTACGTATTCATGAGATGATACTTTAGCGCTTACTATGAATTACGAGTTCAGGCGATTTGTAACTACGTATGCATGCAATGCCATCCTATCCTTTACTTGACATGTATTGAGGGACTAATCTACGAATCAGTACTATCTATGCAATGTAGGTGATGATCCTTAGAAAAAGTCCTTAGGAACAAACATATAAGGAAATAAGATGTAAGCAGATGAGAGGTAAATACAATATAGGAGATGACCCTTAGGATAAATTTTTAGGGGAAGATTAAATGAAGAAAATGGGGATGGGCAATCTTGTTGATTGTTTGACATGAATTATGTCAAGAAACAAATTAACTATGTTATTGTGGGTTGAAAACCCTATGTACTTACCAGGTTTCGTAACCTAACCCACTCAGTTTATTTTTATCACATATATAGATGCGATTATACATTAAATTGAAAGTTTAGAGGAGACGTAGTTCATTACTATAAATGAATGTAAGGTATGTTCTTGCTAATGTTTCTTTATTAATGATGACATCCTGATGTTTTAAGTAAAAATACATTTCTTTGTAAATGCATTGATAACATCATTATCATGTTTTCTACGAACAAATTCCGCAATACTACTTTTCAAAAAGGATAGTTTGATTTTTAATTAAGCATAAATAAAAATTTTAAAATGACCGTGAATTTGGGGGATGTCATATACACAGTTCGTAAAGGCTTGGAGAATCAATTCGTTCCCAGATGGGTACCAAATACCTAAAGCTTTGCTTCTTCTAAGCTATCTGAAAATTTTGTTTGACTACATTCATATTAGACACCTTGAGTCCAGCTTGGTATCTGGCACGCAACCCCGTTACGAAGACGATATGTGACCTACTTCTGCTCAGGTACAATAGAGAACCAATCATTGCTTGGTATACCTTTTGGTCAACTAACTCTCCAGTGGGATCTGCGGTGATCTTTTAACCAAAGACCATAGGGAGCTTTGCCAAAGAACATTTATCCATTAAATACTTATTTAGCGGTTTTTTGCTTTCCTTTAACTGATGAACGGAGATTCCTTGTGGGACTTTCTTGATTTGAAGACCAAGAAATTAATTAATCTCTATATTAATGCTGATTTCGAACTTGCTTGTCAAGAGCTTAGCAAATTTTTCTACCATAACTTGATCAGTTGAACCAAAAATGATGTCATCCACGTAGATTTGTATAAGAATTAAATTATTTTCACTCTAACTCCGAAAGAAGTTAGGATCAATGATGCCATGATTGTATCCATAATCAATAAGAATCATAAAAAGAGTTTCATACCAAGCCGTAGCTGCCTATTTCAACCCATACACAACATTCTCTAACTTATAATAGTAACGAGGAACATCAAGATTTTCAAAACCTAGATGTTTCTATAAGTATACATCTTCTTTCAGTTCACTATTAAGGAATGCACTTTTACAATCATCTGATGTACTTTCACATTTTTTACACGTATATGCTAGGAAGATGCATAAGGCCTCTAGCATTGCAATTGGAGCA